CATGGTGCGCCAGCTCTGTGGGGAGATGGCAAAAACCATGGCTTCAATATGAAATCAGTTGTCAAGGAAAAAAAGCCAAGTTAAGTGAATATTTCATCAGAAAAATATGAATTAATTGCACTAGCAAAAAATACACAAGCTCGGGCTTTTCGTTACGTGATGAATGTGAGGCTTATTCGCCGTCCAACTCGTCCCGGGGTGGGGCTCGGCTGCATATGTATGAGCATACCTTCTCGGCCTTTTGGCTATGATCAAGTGTAGTATCTGTTCTTATCAGTGTGACAACTGATATGGATCCAACTGGATCCAACATGTCACATCAATTTTTGTTTGGAGAGGTTAGGACTCTGAGCTTGCTCAGACCTTCCTCGAGCGTTGTCCTGCCCTCACACTAATCGGCAGGGTCGGCGCATCCATCCGACCCTTCGGGGTTAACAATTATTTCTTCTTGCCTTCTTGCAAATGTTTTGTTTGTATTGTTTTAGTGTTTGACGGTTCTTGCTGTACCGGTTGTTTAGCTTTTTGTGGTGTATTTGGTATGTCTCTTTTTCTCTTAGTTGAACGTTCACGTGTTGCGAAACGATTTGCCATGCTCTCCATGGGTGTTGGACGTCCGTGTCCGCTGCTGTAGGTGTAGTCAGCAGGCACTACAGCTATAGTTTTATTAGATAAGTTCGGGAGGGGAAAGACACCGATAGTGGATGGAGGATTAGGCATAGAGAACACCTGTTAACGCGAACTAGTGTAGTTCCAGTCGGTCACACTAGACAGCATCCAGGGCCGATAACAACCAGCGGAGCCACTGAGCACAACCAAACGGCAGGATTCATTCCTCATAACTTTTCTCTTTCAATTGCGTGCGCAACTAATTTCAGACCCGTGTTAGGAACTACAGAGTTACTGGGTCTTCGTGTTCGCAATGCAATGCTTCGTATAAGCCATACCTGTGACCTCTGGGTCATTGTTGGCTGGATGAAGCAATCCATATTCTTTCTACCCCCTGTCAGTACGCTGCACGGTAACCTAACCACCACTTTTACTTCTTCCCCGCTCGTCGGGCTTTTTTCACTGCACTGCGGTGGACGTGACTCTACGCACGATGG